GAACAGTGATCATATTGTTCTCTGCACAGGTAATTGTGATGAGTGCAACCCTGGATGCAGGAAAGTTCCAAGTGTACTTCGACAGTTGCCCTCTGCTCACCATTCCTGGACGCACACATCCAGTAGAGATCTTCTACACCCCTGAACCGGAGCGGGACTACCTGGAGGCAGCTATTCGTACCGTCATTCAGATTCACATGTGTGAAGAGGATGAAGGTGACGTCCTTCTGTTCCTCACAGGTCAAGAGGTAATGCTTACAATACTTTTATGTACGTTATTGAACAGCGTTGTTTGTCCTGAGCGAGAAAGACAAGTCATTGTCTTTTTTTCAGGAAATTGATGAAGCCTGTAAGAGAATCAAGCGAGAAGTTGACGACCTTGGCCCTGAAGTCGGAGACATCAAAATCATTCCACTGTATTCCACGTTGCCCCCGCAGCAGCAGCAGAGGATCTTTGAGCCACCTCCTCCAAGAAAGCCAAATGGCGCTATAGGGAGAAAGGTTTGCTGGCAAAAAGGGATCATGCTAAATGTCTCCCACTGTTCACATTTATGAATGAATATTTAAACTGTTGCTTTCCCCCTCAGGTTGTTGTGTCAACAAATATCGCTGAGACGTCGCTAACAATTGATGGTGTCGTGTTTGTCATTGACCCCGGATTTGCCAAACAGAAGGTGAGTAAAAAGGAACCCTGTTTATTCTATATACATTCCTCTGTAAAAGTGGTCAAGCAAGACCAAAATTGAGCTTTTTGACCAACATGCATAGACTGACCATGTTCACGTTGTAACATGGAGGTAGCGGTATCATGCTGCGGGGTGATTTTTCCCAGCATATCATTGTGAATTGCTTAATTTGGTATTATTCAATATTTATTACTGAAAATGTTCTTCTTAAGTCTACTGGTGTTGGTTTAGTTTATCTGTTTTTTCCCACTATACATGCAGCTTTAAACATGTGTGTCACATACTTTATAATGTGTCTAGGTGTACAATCCCCGCATCAGAGTTGAGTCTCTGTTAGTCACAGCCATCAGTAAAGCTTCAGCACAGCAGAGGGCAGGAAGAGCAGGCAGAACACGTCCAGGGAAATGTTTTCGCCTCTATACAGAGAAGGCCTACAAAACAGAGATGCAGGTGAGTCACTGTTGAACTGGGAAGTTAGTTCACGCCCTTCCCACTTTCCTGGTCTGTTTGATGCTGTAGTTTGTTTTTTGTTTTTTTTTTAGTATCAAAAATGGACAAGATAAACTTATTATAAAATTTATGCACTCCCAGGATAATACATACCCAGAGATTCTTCGGTCCAATTTGGGATCTGTTGTGCTGCAGTTGAAGAAGTTGGGCATTGATGACCTTGTCCACTTTGACTTCATGGACCCTCCAGGTGAGTAATGTTTGACTCTGAAGAAAAGTCATGTTGACCAGTTGACTTGCAGATTCTGACCACCCTTCACTCCCCACCAATGCAGCTCCTGAAACGCTAATGAGAGCTCTTGAGCTGCTCAATTATCTGGCTGCTCTCAACGATGATGGTGACCTGACTGAACTTGGCTCCATGATGGCAGAATTCCCGCTGGATCCTCAGCTGGCCAAGATGGTCATAGCAAGCTGCGAGTTTAACTGCTCCAATGAGATCCTCTCCATTACTGCCATGCTGTCAGGTAATGCCCAGGACTGGGCTGACACCTTCTAGCCTTTAAGAAGCTAAGCTTCTTAAGGAAAACACTCGTTTGAAATAACCAGCCATGTTATTTCTTCGCATCATCCTAATAGGTTTGACTCCAATCTTTAACTTTATACCAGTTAAAGACTGGTCGCTAATTATTATAAAATGATTATGACGAGGTTCGGGTCAATCTGTATATCAAGGTATCCCAAGGTTTTAAAAAGCTTGTCCAAAGCCTCAATTGTTTCTGACATCCAATGCTAAAGTTGAAATCCTTTATGAATGTAATTTCAGAGAAAGTGAGTAACATAGAGGAACTCACTACCAGAAATATATCTGGTCCTGAAGATCATTGACTATTGTGGCGTGAAACTAAATGAAAATAATAGAAGATAAAGTCATTCATTCAACACCCCAACCTGCCAAGACAATGAGCTTACAACATGACATGATGAAATAATAACACATGGTCCAGATGGGCTAATAAAAAAACATGCAATGGAAATTATTATTGGTAAGAAATGAAAGCCATTATGAGAAATTTCCATTTTCTCCCAATGTTCTTCTTTTTATCTCTGCTTCCAACAATCTTTGGGACTTTTAGCATCTTAGGTAATCTGAGTGAGAGATGTGCAGTTTCTACAGTTGGTTCATCCAACACCTTGGAAAATATTCTTTGCATACACAGTGTTTTGTTTTTATTTGTAATATTTTAGCAGACTTGTTGACTTTCATGGTGTTGTACACAGTTTTCAGATAATTTTTTTTTTGTTTGTTTATGTTTTGCAGTCTTATTGCTCACCTTATTTTTAAAACAGCATCTAAGACCTGCTTATGCTTATTTATAACATTATAAGGTGAAGTTACTTTGAAAAGTCATAATTACTAGTTTACTAAAATATCGAACATTATAAAATTTACATGACTTAAATTCACGACTGCGGTTAAAATTAAAGTTTATGCTTAAATGCCTTTGCAACTTTTTAAGTTAAAGTGTTGGATGCGGTCTTTCAATTTTAGGTTTTGTTTACCTACTTGAAGCCTTTTGTAAACAGCCTGTGGATAGGGCAGGCACCACTTATGCTATTTCAGACTTTGCTTCATGCTGATGAATTATTCCGAAGTATATAATTAGATATATTACTGTTTGTCAATGTCATGTGTAGTTAAGGAGAAGACGTTACATGTTTAAAAGAAAAACCTATCAACCCTGCATAAATTAATCCTTGCTGGTGTTTCTAACACTTTATAGTTGTGTGAAAACTCTTGTTTTACAGATGTGGTTAAATGACCTCGCTACGAGCTTATAGCCAATACTGTTGGAAATGACCTTGAGAAAAGCCTGCAGACCCCCCTTTGATAGAGTGTGGTCCTGCCCTGTCCCAACGCAGTGTCAAGTGCCCTAGCATCATAGGCTTTGCTCCATTTTTCTGTGAATGTTTGACTCATCCCTATGGGCGGCTTTGTTGGGGCCCATACCAACCTTGTTTAGTCCCACAGTGTTTTGTCCGTCCCACGGAGGCTAAGAAGGCAGCAGACGAGTCCAAGATGAGATTTGCTCACATTGACGGAGACCACTTGACGCTGCTCAACGTCTACCACGCCTTCAAACAAAGTGAGTGTCAAGCTTTTAGTTCCACTATTAGTTAGCATGCTTTTCTTTCTAAGTGATGCCCAGAAAATACAGAAGCTGCAGAATGTCTATGAATATCAGACTTAACTTTCACTGTTGACTTCACTCCAGATATAGTTGCAGCTCTTAAACTGGTCTTGGAGTCTATGTTACATTTCTACAAAAGTGACAATTAACTTTTTTGTTTTAACATATTTTGAGCAACTTCTATGCTTCCAAAATGCTACATATGTACCTGAATTACTTCAACTTTTGACATTGAAAACACAAAATATGTCTCCCTCTTGTGGTAGTTATTAAAACATCTGGTAATTTATTTGTAAAATTACTACATTTGACTATAAAACAATGCTGCTGCTCAGGTTCACTTAAAGCTTAAAAGTCTTGAAAGGTTGTTATCTTGACTCAAATTCCTTCTTTTTTTTTCCAGACCATGAAGCTAATCAGTGGTGTTATGACAACTTTGTCAACTACCGCTCGCTGATGTCTGCTGACAACGTACGTCAGCAGCTGTCCAGGATCATGGACCGCTTCAGTCTGCCTCGGCGGAGCACAGAGTTTACCAGCAGAGATTATTACATCAATATCCGACGAGCGCTCTGCACTGGCTTCTTCATGCAGGTGAGCTTTTAGTGTAAAAATATTAGTGTTTTGGTCTTTTGTTGCTTTTCTTAAAAGATTGTAATATTAATAGTACTTGTTCTCCTTTCAGGTTGCTCATTTGGAGCGCACAGGCCATTACCTCACAGTGAAAGACAACCAGGTGGTCCAGCTGCACCCATCCACAGTCCTGGACCACAAACCTGAGTGGGTGCTCTACAATGAATTTGTTCTCACCACCAAGAACTACATCCGCACTTGCACAGACATCAAACCAGAGTGGTATGTGCACTGATAAGTTTATGATGCATGCCTGTTTAAATGTCATCATACTGATGGGATTGTTCAAGTTTTTCTCTTTGTTGCAGGTTGGTGAAGATTGCACCGCAGTACTATGACATGAGTAACTTTCCACAATGTGAAGCTAAAAGACAGCTGGAGCGAATTATTGCCAAACTAGAGAGCAAAGAGTACACACAGTACTGAATATAGTCGAAGTGTCCTGGAAAACAACCTGCATACTGTAGTTTTAGATCTTTCTGTATCATTGTACTTTAATGTTCAAACATTGGCTTTTTGATTTTTAGTATTTGTTTGCTTATTTTTGTTTTCCCATCAATGTCGGTTCTGTAAGTAGGTGTAATGACATGAAATATCAGCAGCAGTTGTTAGATCCAGCTTAATATGATTTTCAAAAGAAATTATCTGGAGCAGGTCTTATAGATGTGGTTGAATTTAATTCAGGAGCCTTTGGAGCCATAACAAAGATCTGTGCTTGCTTTGTTTCTTAAATAAACAAGCTTTGACTTTATTTTTGTGGAAACTTTTTTTTTTTGCTGGATTGATGTGACAAAAATTATTTGATGGAGAGTTTTTTTGCTTCAACTTTGAACTATGCCATGGCTTTGTTACATAAAAATTAAATGGCGTTTTTTTAATTTTCTATTTACTACTTTCAGTTTGCCATATAAATATGCTCATTATGGCATATCTGCACTGTACTCAGTTGACAGTTTTTAAGTAATCTCTGATAGTGACAACGTAAAGCTTTGCCACTAGAAGACATACATGAAACTAAAAAACAGTGGTGAACTGAGACTCAAGATCCTTTATTGGCTGGCATTACCAAGCAAAACCTACTTTTAATCTTAAAATGTCAACTTTTCAAAATAAAACGTATCACCATTCAATTGCAGACAAATTTGCACAAATCAAGCTGTCAATATTCAGTTTGCATTTTCCATGAAAATATTTACGCTTTCTGATTAGTATTAAACTGCGTTCCTTCAATGTCTTCAATTGTCTCTGGCAGACACCTGTTGCGTGTCTCTGGCAAAGTTCTTGCCACCAGTCCTCCCAGAAGAGCTATTGAGAACAAGACCACCTGTGGAAGTTCCTTCCAAACCTCATCTAGCAACAGGATCAGAGGAGCTACAGCAACGCCAAACCGAGCCATAAAGGAGTTGTAGCCCATTCCATTTTGTCTGCAACAGAGACAGAAGTACAGCTCTTAAAAGGAGAAACCTTATAGGCTTGAGATTACTTCTGCAGGAACCAATGGTTCAAGTCCCCTTTAAGATGTATAAAAAGCTAGTTCCTCTACTATCTAAAAGCTTTTTATGTGAATTTAGCCATAAAGAAAATGCCACTTGTTGGGACAAAAAAAAAACAATTTGATTGTGTGACTGGATCTTCAAAGTCAATGCTCTTTATGCAGTCTGAATGCCTGCCAGCTAATGTATTAGCAGAAATAACCAGATGAATACAACAGGTTTGAGTTTCCCTGCCTTGTCAGCACCTTCTAAGGTTTTGATATTCCAAAATGAACTAATCTTCATTTGTGCAGTCAGAGCATCTGTATGGTTTGCCATAAGATTAACTCAACATGCATTTTAAATGTATATCAGGAAAGTGCCCAAAGTCAAGGGGAGGACAGTTCATTGTTTTAAATTACGTATTTTTACATGCATTGAACATCAGATCGCTACATTACTACGTGATGAAGTTATCCATAAAGGTCAGAGACTGTCATTTCCATTACCTAACTACAGTTGGATACAGCTCTGAACTGTACAGCACAACCGTTCCAAACGAAGCTGAAGAAAACCCCTTGCCAACAATGGCAACAACTGTTCTGGCCGTGGACATATCTGCAAAAAAAGAAGTGTTTGCTTTTTTTTTTTCTAGATGTAGTCGAAATTAATTGTTTATCTTTACATCATTTCTGAGGCAGTCACCTACCTTTCGGCATGACAATGTTGATTCCAAGGCAGAGTGCAGATAACAACAAAGCTCCCACCTCAGTGCTGCGCCTGCCGATTTTATCCAGCAAATAGTAAACTGATAGTTTGGCTGGGACCTCAATTACAGCATAGGTAAATTGAGTAAGGTAGATATTCAAGCCAATGCCCGAGATGTTGAAGCTGATGCCGTAAAATTTTGAAGCAATACAAAACCTGTGGGTACAGAAGTATTCAGATACAAAAAAATATATAATAAACATTTTATACAAATAAGTTGTTCTGACCTGACAATAATAAGACAATTGCAAAGTTTGCACAAACCATAAGAGGCCAGTTCGCAGAGCTAGTTTCCTCATCTTAGGTGTTCGAATCAAGTCAAGGTACGTATAAGTTTGTCCTCTTGCCCCCTTGTCTACAATGGTGGATAAGGTCTGAAAAATGTCAGTTATTTTTTAAAAGTGTTCACTAAAATAGAAAGGGTCTAAAATTAAGGCTAAACTTTGAGTTCTGAATACAACCTCTGCTTTTAGTGTGTGAATGAAATCTTCTCTTTGATTTATCTTGGCACATTTCTTCAGGTATGTCTGAGCCTGCTCCACTTTTCCATTAGCAATGAGCCACCTCGCTGAGTCAGGCATCCACCTGAGTTTAGCAAAAAGAATGTTCTTTAATCCACATAGTCACACTTTGATCACTACCATTTCCCAAGATGGAACAATTTCCATTTGTTCTTCTTCATATCAGTACAAAGTTTAATACTATAACAAAATGTGGACTGAATTTTTTAAACTTATTTCCATCATGACAGAATACAAAGTTATATTTATGAGAAACCTTCAAGTCATACCTCCAAGTGATGATGGCCAAGATTAAAGGTGATGTAACACTTAGAGTGAGCCAACGCCAGTCAGTCACAAAGTAAGCAATTGCTGCAAATACCGTGTTGCCAAATGTCCAGGATAAACTATCGATGACTCCGACCAGTTTCCTGTGTTCAATGTCCACCCACTCCACACCTGCAAGAAAATACCTTATTTTTCTAGATGATCAAACAGAGTTAATTATATAAACACACATTCCTCATAACCATCCCTGAAGCTGCCCAGGTCTTTCCCGGTTAGCTCAGCATAATCACAGATTAATTACAGAGAGCGGAGGAAACGATGACAATGCCAGTGATGCAGAATCCGGTGAAGAACCTCAACACCGCAAACATCACATAGGTTGTAGAAAAGGCGCTTGCTACAGCAAACAGCATGCCAGATACATATGACACCAGGAGCATGATCCTGCGGCCAAACCTGTGCAGAGCAGTAGAGAAACAATATAACAGCATGAAGCTAAATAAATATACAACTCTTAGTGTAAAAACTTTGTTGCACAACTGTAATACCTGTCACTTAGACTTCCAAAGGCTATGGCTCCAAACATTACTCCAACAAAGAAGATGGTGGCTGTTGCTTTGTTTTTACCTCTTCTGTCACACACAAGGTCCCACTTTATGTAACAAGAGTAGAAAGGCGCGTTCACTCCCAAAATTAGTCTTCTTTTACGAAAATGTTAATTTTAATATCAAAGTTTAATCTACGTAAAGAAAGAAAAGACAGCAGGATTACCTCTGAGGTTATTGTTGATTTGAAGGTTGTGTTGTCGTACACCCATCCATTCTGGCACGGCACAGTGGACGCATCAGTAACATCAGAAGAGTTGAGCAACAGGTGATACTGAGGCTGTGCAAACATCCGACAGGAGCTGGGACTGCCATCTGTCTCGACTGGGATACTCACAGTAACTCTTTCTGTCTGAGATAAATTCAGAAAATCATCCAGCAAGCTGATGTCACAGTGATGAGCTGGTATTGCTGCGATAAAATTGTTCAGCATAAAGTGGCAAGGAAGCGTGAAGCGACCCAGGAAGTTGATTGCAATAATCATTATCTGAAATTTTCCAAATCCATTAATATCATCAAGAACGTTCTCAAACTTCATTGTTGCGTATTTCTGCAGTGCGATGCGTCTTCATGCAAGATCAATAAAGCAAGTAGATGAACTCGTCTGTCTGTATTCTTAGAAATCCACCAATCTTTTAAAAATCTACCAAGCGAGTATGACCTTTGGCATTTGGTGAAACAAATGTTCACTCCAAGAGAAGTGATGAGGTGAAGTGAGTGAATAATTTACTTTCCAAACTTGCTGCCAGCATTCATTTAAGTAAGAGGAGCTTGCAATTATATAACAAAGGCACTTATTTTGAAAGAAAAATTAGACCACCACTGTTGCTGTTGATTTGGCCATACACTTTGTAGATCAGACGAAACACAGAACAGTTTTTTTTTTTTATCAGAAACTGAAGATTCTGGGATATTGAAGGTAAACTCTCAGTGGCTACTTTATTAAGTAGAAATCACTAGCAGTAGGTTCGACTTTTGTCTTTGGAATTGTGCTGTTTTGTTGCACAGATTCAACAACAATGTGGTGAAATATTTTTTTCTTAAAATGTTTGCACAATATTAACTTGATAGATCTACAGTTGTTGCTGATTTATCAGCAACTGAAATATATTACTTCTCTGGCTCTGGCTCAGAGGGATACAGTGAAATCTTCAAGTTCAAAAAACCAAAAAGTAGAAAATCCTTTCCAGAAAATGGGTGCACTGAGCTCATAAAGGGATGGAGTACCAACAAAACACATACGAAAAGAGGCTTTAGTCTTGTAAGTAGTTCTGTTAAACTGGATTGTGTTGATTGTTGGAAATGCAGCTTACAAAATTACAGGTATTAATGTAACAACAACCGCTCTGTTATACGTGAATCAGTAAAGCCAGGTAATATTCAACATTTCCTTGTACATCTAGTCATGTGCTACATGAGCATGACTCATCATAATCCTGTACAAATTGGAAAACAGAGTTTGCAACCAAGATAAAGAAATGTGTGTTTAAACAATTAACTGCTCAAAAGTGCTGCTTTGATTTATTTATTTTTTATGTGTAGCTTACACTGGCATAAATATAATTATTGTGCATTATAATGGCACATTGTGCAGATCTTTCTAAAGACTAAATTTAACAATTGATTGTTCTGCATTGTGTGTTTAATATCCTAATTTTGTGCTCAAACAATGTTTTTAAATATATTGTGATTATAGGGTAAATTCAAATTCTCATAAAAGAAAATATCAAAGAAATGTGAGATAAAACTATTGAAGAAAACAATTTGAAAATAATCAATTAAGTCTAATCAGGACAAGAAAGTAAGACATGTTGGTGTTTAAAACTTAAACAATGACACATTTGCACACTTACACACTCAAAGTTTCTTCATCAAACATTACACACTCATAAAACATGACACATTTTCACTTTCAAAGGCCTGACATTAACTGTAAACACCATGGATAATGATGAGAAATTTGACATTTAAAAACTGAAAAAATTGATATTCAAATAGATATAAATAGGCAGATTTACAATGCAATAGCTCTGCTTCCTGCCTGAATAAGCAGTAAACAACATGATGCCGGTTTGGGCATGCAATCTCTCACCAGTCTTTAAAAGTATTGACTCAACCATCAAAATACCTGCATGTCTCTACAAATGTAAACATAAAAAATTCACTAAATACCGAGGCATTTAAGAATATGAGGTGAAATAACAATTTTGATAGGTGCTCTGCGGTGTTTTTCAAAGCTGGGGACCTGCTTTTTATCAACACTGTAAGGATAAAATTCCTTCCCTTTAAAGGATAACTCTCTGAGCATCTAAACTTTTACCAGATGAAGGTTAGTGTCAGAGTTAAAGGTAAGGTCAGAAAAGAAAAAGCAGATTTGTTTAATCTTGAAAATATTGTCATATCAGAACACAGGGTTAACAAAATTGGACAAAAACAAATAGGAAAAACATTCATAGTCCAACGAGTATTGATTCTAACTGCAAGAGGTTGTGCTCAGATTTTGGCAGAAGTAGGGAGTGATGGTGTAATGGTATATGGATTCTTAGCACAAATTGTTGCTCTTGTTAAAACACCACGGCCTACTCGTATGCTTCTTTGTTGATCTAAAAACATCTAAATCTGTATTTTCCTAACAATTCAGATTATTTTTTCATTGTTTTCTCTGATTGAATTCCAACTTGTGAAACGGCAAGCCCCAAACATTTGCATGTTTAAACTACTCATAAACTGTTCTTGTGTTTGTTGCAAGCAAAACTAATAAAGGCACGCTGATAATGCTCATCTACTGCAGGTTTTAAATTGTGAACGTCTGTCACCTTCAGCAGACTTTTTATTCATTGCAAACCTAATTGGACTTTAACTCTGTGTGTTAAAACTTTGCCAGGATGGGCACTGGCTCAGGGTTGCACTTCGCCATGTTGCAGGGAGCGTTTGATATATATATTTTTGGTAAATTGACATAAGTATTACAGTCATATTAAAGCATGGAACATTAACTTAGCACTTCATCATCAAAGCATCTACAGCAGCAAAGTATGACTCAGCTGAAAAATGGCTGCATGTGTCAAGTCCTGGGTGATCTGATTTTGTCTGGACAGGGCTATATGCATGTGACACAGTGATGACAAAATCTTTACAGGTGGCCTGGACACTTGTACTTGCATTACTTCAGCAGTCTGAACACAGCCCCTAAAGGCACACAGTGAAAGAGTCCACCATCTGAAGACACTATTTCTGCCTATCAGTGTTACCTGGATGGCTGTAGGTTAAAAAATGTAGGTGGTGATGACAAAATTAGTGGACCTCTCATCTATCTAAAACAACTATACAGCCATTAAGTAAAGACTGCTTCCTTTTAAAACGCTTACTCATTGAAATTCTCTCTAGTAAAAAAAAAAAGATTTTCTCATTATTTAAATTTTGTCATCAGTGGATCAGGTTGCTGTGATTTTCTCTCTAATATGTAGGCAATTAATCCATTGATTATAAGATTACTAATTCAGAGGACTGAATCACTGTATGATGGGGTAGTTGCTTGTTCAAGTCATGTCTGTGAAACTTCACAGGAGAGCCTGAAATTCATAGCTGAAATAACTTACAGTAAAATGTGACTCGGATAAACTTCTGCCTTTATATTAAAAAAGTTTATGTAATTTATTGCATCTGATGTCACAAAAACAACAGCAGGCCTGGTGATTGCAATGATGACAGCCCACTGTCTGACATGGACACATATTTATTTTCATGTAAAGCAGTAGTTGACATCCAAACACTAGGATGGATTGCAATGCAAGAAATTGTAATTGGCACCGTCTGATCAGGTTTTAATAAGCCCCTGTAAACAAAAGGCTGACATGCACACATTCCTGATATGACTAATTATTTTCCCATCAGGAGGCTCCAGCAGTCTCAATGTTGTCAGTGAATAAGTTTAAGAGGACACAGTTACAATACTAATGTACACCATTTAATGTGTAATTTTATTTTAAAGTCATAGATTCTTCAAGGATATACATGACAATTGCTTAATTTTAGCATCGGACTGAGACATACTTAACTGTCTCTAATCAGTGTCAGACAGAAATAAGTTCTGCTCAAGACATCAAAGCATTTTGTCAAACAACAGAGTAGTGTTAGCATAGCAGATTAACTTTGCAGATAATTCTTCACAGAGTCGCTTTCTCGTCAGACATCGGTATTGATCGTCTTCTGCAAAACAAAATATGTTCTCATAAAGCTTTCGTTTTTAGGTTTTGCTAAAAACAGACAGTTGTCTTACCTTGTCTGTTCAATGTCTTCGATGGTTTCTGGGAGACGGACGTTTAGTGTCTCAGGAAGAAAAGAAGCTGACAGAGCTGCAACGCAAGCCACCAATGTAAAAATGATATTTGGTAGGTAAGACCAGATGTCCTCAAGAATCATCACCAGGGGTGATAGAGACACACCAATGCGAGCCATGAAAGAGCTGAAACCAAGTCCGTTTTGCCTGTACAACCCAACAGAGAATAATTTTAACGTCAAGTCCTTATTTCCCCGTATTGTTATTATTGTTTTTATGAGAGTAACATGCTTGCAAATCTTTTTTCCTGGATACTAAAATATGTTTGACTAGACAAAAAGAGGTGAAATGTTTTCAGACCTCATGACAGTCGGATAAAGCTCTGTTGTGTACAGGAACACAGTTGTAAAAGCAGCTTCTGCAAACATCTTGCCTAAAGCTCCAAAAACTGTCCTTGCTGTCCACAAATCTAAAAGAAAAAAAACCCAAAAAAACTTTTATTAGGTGTTACAACTTTGACAGTTTGTGATTTCATGGTTTTAGGACTTGTTGCTTCAAGTCATTGACGTTTCAAATGCTATGTGTAAATGCTACTGCAAGCTTTCTCGTTGTAAGAAACACAGTTAGATTTTTTATTTACTCTGAGGGATGAAAATGTTGCAGAACAAACACAACCCTGTGAGAGCAAGTGTTCCAGCCTGAGTCAATCTTCGGCCTAATTTGTTCAAAAAGAAAACAATGAAGACTTTTGCTGGGACTTCGGTGATGCCATAGATGAATTGCGTGAGATAAATGTCCACTCCAAACCCAGGAACATTTAAGCTGATTCCATAATAGATGCAGGCCACGCCAAACCTACAGGCAAAACAACAACAACAACAAAAAGATAACACAGCAAGAGATATGTTTAGTAAAAAAAACAACCAAAAACTGTTGTATGAATGCTGGTTCTTGATTGGCTAGTTTGCGTCATGTGTTGTATTTCTGCAGCTGAAACTGCTTCTTGTCAAACAATAAAATGAGAGTCCAAGCTCTGTTTGTGTATAGGTGTTTAGTGTAAACCTAAGTCAAATTAGGAATCCATATTAAGACCACAGAACTGATTTTGACAGATGAAACTAAGGGTGATTAAACTGGAATCATAATCTATAGGTCAAGATGTATCAAGCAAATAGAAATATTATCCAAAAGTCATGCAGTTATTTTTACTGCCAAAGATGGTACTACAAAAGCTGAATACTAGAGTTGTTTTTTTTATTTTAAACATAGTGGAACATATTTTTACTTATGCATTTATTTTGTATTTATGGGTTAGTTTGTGCAGGTTTGCTAAATCGTAATTAAAGAAGTATCATCACTTTTGCTAAACCCTGTAATATCACAATTTTAAAAATAATAAAAAAATATTTATTTACCAAACAATGCCAGTTAGTAGCGCGAGTCGTCTCATTCTGGGAGTCTTCACAAGGTCCACATATGAGTATTTTCTATTTTCATCCTCAACAAGTATTACTTTGGATAGAATCTGAACAATTAAAAGAGAAATTTAAACAAAAAGCTGTTTACATGAAGAGAATGTGGAAATTGTTGTACCTCAGGCTTTAGGTCAGCCATGAACTCCTCTCTGCGGTTGAATTTTGCACACTTAGTCAAGTAAAAATGAGCACCATTCACTTTTCCATTACTTATCAACCATCTGGCAGACTCTGGGAGCCACCTGCACAAGAAGAAAGGTTGGCAGCATGACGCAAACATGAAAGATTTTCTAAAGACTTTCTAAAATATTTCTAATGTTCAAAAGTGTATTTGCTTCTGCAAACAGGCCTGAATGCTTACTTTATTTTTATTATTTAAATCTGACCAGTTTCTGCTTACCACCAACAGATTATAGCCAACAGCAGTGGGCTGGTCACAGTGGCTGTCAGGTATCTCCAGTCGTTCACAAAGTAGGCCACACCGGGCAACAGAATCGTTGAGAAACTCCAGTCCAAACTCATTAAGACTCCCACCGAGGTACGATGCTTGATTTCGACCCATTCCACACCTGTCAGAACAAAACAATCATTAAGGGTAATAAAAGAGAATAGAACATAAAATCAACGGAATAAAATAAAGATTCATTTAAGCTTAACGTTTTATTGACAGTGAATTAATATTTTAAGCCAAGATTTTCTGTATTTAATAAAAAACTTTTTGTTGGAAATGTTAAAATTTAGCACCATAAACCAAGACAAGAATCCAAGACAATAACGGGAAAAAAAACAACAACCATTTTTTATCAGCTTCACAGCATATTAGTAAAAGTTTTGGGTCACCTCTTTTCATTCACAAAACCTCTAATGGCATTCTATTTTAAATACAAAAACCTTAGTATGGAATTGTCCCACTATTTGCAGCTACAGTAGCTTAAACTCTGAAAAATGTCAACAAACTTTAGGAATGTGTTTCTGCAGACTTTTATTAGTTTATTTAGTTTTTCAAGATAGCATTTGTGAGATCAGACGCTGATGTTGGATGACACGGCCTGCCTGAATGTTTACTTTCTAATTCATCTCAGAGGTGTTCTGCCGGGTTGAAGTCAGGACTTCATGTTGGTCAGTCAAGTTTTTTCACCTGTTCACCATTTTATGCAGCTTGCTTTTTGCACTCAGTCCCTATCTTCAACTGTGGTCATGAGTTTTGGGATGTGAGCAAAAGAACGAGATTCCAAGTGGTCATCAGTACAAACCTCTTATGAAGAACCAACATTTTTGATGTATTGACAGACAACTTACATAGAACAATGGAGACTATACTGATTCCAGAAATCCCAAATCCAGTGAAAAATCTCATGGCAGCAAACATGGCAAAATTATAAGAGAAAGCACTTGCAAAACCAAAGATGGTGGTCATTATGTAGGACACCAGAAGTGTTCTTTTTCGTCCAAACCTGTAAAAATGAATATAATGGTTGAATAAATAAAACTATTTGAAATGCAAAAACAAGACTGCAATCTATTATAAATGATTGCAGTCACAACTTATTGCATATAAATGTATACAGAGCAACATTTAGATCCAGAGGACAAACAACCATGCATGCACAATCTCACTCCTACAGGGAATTTAATCCTCTCAGGCTCAAATTACTTGCAAAGACTGGCTAAGTTGTTGCAAATCTGCAACACCTGCCTGGAGAGGGTTAAAAAGACTGATTAATTCAACGGCCTTATTATCTTAATGTAGGACATCGACAAAGGGCCCAAAAGGAACCCACACATGCACAGGCAGAGCAAACAATAAAAAAAAAAACATTCTTTTTTTTATATTATTTCTATTTAAGCAAGTGTTTGTAAGTGATCAAACGAAGACATTTGGAACTATAGTTCCAATTCAGTGCTGGAACTGTATGCCAGCACTGATGTTTATATAAATAAAGATGTGCTTTTTTACTTTAGGAATAAAGTAAATTAGTCCTTCTAATTTTGTCATAATTAAAAATTTTCTTGAATGTTTTAAATACATATATAAACCAACTGATTGGAAACATGTGAGGAATATTCACACCTGTCACTAAGATAGCCAAAAACTGCTGCTCCAACCATGACCCCCATGAAGAAGATGGTGGCTGTAGCTCTGTTCACACTTCTCTTTTCACAAACCAGGTCCCACTAAAATGAAACACAGATAACAGGGATTAGGGATAAATGTAACAACTGAAAAATGTCCCGGCAAAACTTACCTCAGTGGCGAGAGTCGATTTAAAGATGCTGTGGTCATAAACCCAACCGTTCTGGCATGTAATTGTAGGTAGTTCTGTGATGTTGGTAGAGTTATACAGCAGGTGGTACTGAGGCTCTGCAAACATCTGACATAAGCTTGGGCTCCCATCACTCTGTAAAGGAATACTAGCAACGAGCTTGTCTTCAAGAGATAAATTCCTGAATCTTTCTTCATCGTCTAGCGAACTGATGTTGCAGTGGTGAGAAGGAATCACTGTGATGAAGTTATTAAGCAGGAAGTGAAATGGCAAAGTCACCCGAGGAATGACCAGCAAGAGAAGTATCCTTATCTGAAATCTGCCAAAGCCATTAACCTCTGCAAGCACATTCTCAAACTTCATCTTGCTGACAGATGATGTCGTGCTGGAGAGTGGAAGAAAACACCACACAGGAGGCAGGGAACTCTGTTACAGATCTCTGGTTAATGGACATACAGCTCTGCTCACTAAAGTTCATCATGGAAGTATTTCTTTTCAATAAATAACTTTTTTCTGTTAGACAGTGCTTGAAGTGTTCCTTGGTTTGATTTACCCACACCTGTAAGCTCCAGCTTCATTGGAGTTCATTGATGTACTTGAATAAGTGATCTGGGATCACTGTTCTGCGGAACCAAAGGACTTGGCTGTTAGTGTCTCTGTTTCCTTCAGGTGTTAGTTATAGAAGTAACAGGGGCAGAAGATATCATCTATAATTCTGCAGAAACAATTAATGTTTAGAATCACTATCATGAAGATTTTATAGTATCTCGTAATGTGGTGTAGTGAGTTTATCACACCCTCTCCTGGAGTTTATATTAAAAGGATATTGACACTGAATGATTTCTGTAAATGGAAAAAACAAGTCTTGGAAAAAATAAGTAAGATTTTTTATGAAAAAGTTTATGTTCTGTTGCTGTACTGTGGCAAACAAGGCAGAACAACATGCACCAATGTTTACATTTGCTTCAGAATTTGTTTAGGAATTAACGCAATGATGTCAGATGAATAAATCTACAGCTTTTAAACATGCACTTAGAGTTCCTTAGCTTTTTCTCATGGATTGTGTAGAAAAGCACAGTGAGAAAATAATCCTTGTGCAGCAGATGCTGCAATTAATTAATATCACTAACAAGACAATAATGGGTCTGTTATTAAAATCTAATCCTCCTTTCATACTAATGAATGTCTTCCATTTATTTTAATAAAAATTGAAAACAGGACATTGTTTTGCTGGAATTTGTCATTTATTTCTGTTTTACTTTCAAGTGTCTCTTGAAATAAAATTGCAATTAACTCCTTGATGATTTCCATAGAGCTCTAATGACTTAACTTGTAATCCAGGCCAATCCGTATAATGAGGATTATGTTATGTGCACTTATTTATGTATATTATTGAACGGATGAAAATAAACTAACAAGAAAACACATTTTGAGATTAAGCATTCATTGGTATAAAAAATGAATTTTATTTATGTACTTATCAAAACACACTGACAGAAGCAGAAGAGTCCAATGAAGTTAAAATGATTAAATTAAAGCACAAAACATCACAAAGAGACAAAATGACATTACGATAATTGTTTTTTTTTTACTGTAAAATGATTTTACACTGGGATTGAAGATAATTCATGGAATAGTTTTACAGATGACTTGTGGAGGAGAGTAAGCACTACATGTCTGACATCTGAAAGGTTTAGCTGTCGTTGACATTTGGAACTGGAAACATAATGAAAGCTTTTATGTGAATAGACTTATGCGTCAGAGGAACAATATTTAGACCAGTTTAGTGGTGTGCAAGTGATGCCTGTTCAAGTTAATGGCCCCAATAGAATTTCATGGACTATGTTGTCAAAGTCCAAGGTCAGATCACAGGAAGATGAGAAAAGTAAATTGTCAGAAAAAATGTTTTCTTTTATTGCTTTCTTGTTTCAAAATAATTTTTGTTGTTGAAAATATTCTGTCACTGGTTAATTCTCCTTTTTACTGAATTACCATCTTCTGTGATGACTTGTTCCTGCAATACAAACAAAACTCACTCATTTCTTCATACATAGATCTTTCCAAAAAGAGAAAAAGGGCAAAAATATTCAAAGGCATTAAAAAATGTGTTGTTTATGAAACGGTCTTAAATTGTACTTTCGTACTGGGAGGTTCTGTAAATAACTAAATCTTTACTGTATATTTGATATTGGATTACACATAACCTTGATACTTCTCTCCCTTTTTACCTGGGTTTCTCAATGTCTTCAATGAACTCTGGCAGCTGGGCGTTTAATGTTTCAGGCAGGAGTGAAGCAACCAAACCAGAGCAAACTGCCACAGCACAGTAAGTGGCGGCGGGGAGGAACTGCCACACGTCTTCCAACAGCATAATGAGCGGAGAGATGGACCCACCCAGCCGTGCCACAAACGAGGTGTAACCTAGACCATTCTGCCTGAAAAAGGACGAAAAGGTTTTTGGGAACTTTCAACAAAATCAAATATCCTTAATAAACATAATTACATATGTTCGACTGACCTCACTACTGTAGGATAAAGTTCAGTTGTGTAAAGGAATATTATAGTGAATGACGCCTCTGACATGGATTTTCCCAGGACGGCCACAATGGTCCGAATAATCCACTTATCTGGGGAGAAGTCCACAATGACTAGATGTTCTTAGGAATATATTTCTAACCAAATGTGACCGTTTCAAATAAAAACTGCACCTTTCGAAACAAAAATATTGATGAACAGACAGACTCCCACAGACAGCAGAGCTCCCATCTCACAACTCTTTCGACCAATTTTCTCCAAGGAGAAATAGACGGCGATCTTCATTGGCATTTCGATAGAAGCGAAGATGAATTGTGTGAGGAATGGATTTAGTCCAAACCCTGTAATGTTTAGACTTATTCCATAATAAGTAAATGCCACTCCATACCTAGAACATACACAAAAAATAATTTTAAGCACTTTTTTTGTTGCTTTTCTCACTTCTTTCTTTAGAAGTAGAATTCAAAGCTAAGACAATCAGAAACTTTCCAAAAAGACCAATAATTATGAAAATGCTGCACCTTAAAACGGGTAAGGTGTTTCCCTTCATGTTTTTCTTCTTCTGCGGCACCATGTTAACAAATCCCACACAAATATACAAAGTTTCCACTTTAAAAAGTACTGACCCACTCACTTTAAAATAATACATACCATACAATCCCTGAGCATATCGCAAGTTTTCTTATATTTGGGGTCCTGAACAGATCAACAACAGTGTACTTCTTATCTCCAGTAACAACGTCTGTGGATTCCAGTAATGTCTTTGACAAAAACAGAAAAATAGAGAAAAGTCAGAGAGTTCAAATGAAGACATTTTAAATGATATAAGTTAGGCACTACAGAAAATTATTTGTTTCATATTTAAGGTTAGCACATAAAGGGGGTTGAATATAAATGGACATCACACTTTTCAGGGTTTAATTTTATGTTTTGAGAATCCTTTGTTGTTACATTATTACGCATTATGTGGCTGCAAAATAAAAGACTTCAAGGGATCTGAATACTGTGGCAAGGCACCATACCTGTGGTGTGATGGTAGCAATACACTTGGACCTGTTGTTTGTCTCAGCGCATTTGGCAATGTAATGATGCGCAGCTTCTGCATTTTTCTTTGCCAAAAGCCACCGAGCAGACTCTGGGAGCCAACTGCAATGACAGATAAAAGACTTCATTATTTGATCAACAGAATTAGCTTTTCAGTAATAAGATTTAACTTCATTACCGCCAAGCAAAGATGGCCAAAATCAGTGGTGAAGAAACAACCACAAGGAGCATCCTCCAGTCCCTCACAAAGAAAGCCATCCCTGTCAAAAGCCAGTTTCCAAGGGTCCAGTCCAGACTCATGATTACGCCTGAGAAAGTCCTGCGCTCAATGCTGCACCATTCAATATCTGCGGTGACAATGGCGTGGATGAAAAGTTAGATCAGAAAATGAACATAAACGATGGAGAAGAAGAACAGTAGAAATGTCTGTCTTACTTAAGGCAATGGCGATAATGCTTATCCCTGCCAGGGACATTCCTGTGAACAGCCTCATAATGGCGAACACTACATATGATGTGGAGAATGCGCTCAGTACTGCAAACCCCAAGGAGGACAAATAAGCCACCAGCAGTAGTCGTCGCCGCCCAAACCTGGTCATGACGGACGTGAGCTTAGAGTTACAAGATGTTCAGAAGGTAAAAACTTTACTGATTTAAATCCCCACAGTGTTGCCTTACTTTACAACAAACTTTTCTAACTGAAATAAAGCTCCCATAATAATCTCATTCATCTTAATTTCCTTCCTTACTTTCCAGTGTTATCTTGTAGGATTACATACATTTTAGTGAATGTTCTTGAGCATATATGAATCTTTTATTTTAACTTTTTGCACAGATACATTGACTCATCAGCACTATGTTATACAGTATTTTTATTTAAATCCTTACCTGTCACTTAGAAATCCAAAGAGTGGGGCTCCAATCATGACACCAATAAAAAAAATAGTAGCTGTTGCTTTGTTCAACCCTTTTCTGCTGCAGACAAGATCCCACTGAAAAGGACAATTTAGACAGTTTAAAATAACAATAAAGAATTCAATTTCAGACAGAACATGTCTACATGTTTTATCTAATGGCTTTTTCTACAACACTTACCTCAGTTACCAAGGTAGATTTAAAGGTGCTGTGGTCATAGACCCATCCACTCTGACACTCAACAATGAATGCCTCCTCACTGCGGTTGCCTGATAGATACTCATATTGGGGCTTTTCAAACATCTGACATGAGCTAGGAGTCCCGTCTTGCTCTGTTGGAATGGAAACCAACAGCTTCTGGTAGGGAGTCAAATTTCCAAAGATGCCTCCGTCTTCCAGGGTGCTGATGTTGCAGTGGTGTGGGGGCACGGCGCCCATGAAGTTGTTTAGCAGAAAATGACATGGCAGAGTGATTCGAGAGAGCATCTGAATCAAGAACAACTTGACTTGAAACTTTCCAAATCCATTAATTTCAGAAAGCACGTCGTCAAATTTCATTTCGCCGCTGATCGGACGTCGATGAGGAGTGACATACAGTGAAAGTGAAGCAAAGGAGAAGACACAGAGTGAAAAGGCACATTTAAGAGAGCATTGTTAATCATTACAAATGTCTGGTTTAGACATTTCATTCCAGCCAAAATAAATAAGTTATTTTGTGCCAAACATAAACTCCTTTTTAAAATCTTTTTCAAACCAGAAAATATTAAGCGTTTGTGATTAGAGCAACTTGACAGGCTTGCAGCAAAGCAGTTTCATTATGTAGCTTAAATTGAATATATTAAAAAGCATGCAGTATATCTTTATGACAGACAGATACTTTCCAGTAAGATATCT